CAATCCCTTCTCCTCCATCTCCTCTCAGGATCTTGGGCACACACGCACAAGCGCCGGCGTGAGTTTAAGCCATCAGGTCCAGGACGCGAACCACAGTTGAATACATGGGAGTCCAGCGACATAGCCATTAATTACGCTAACCGCTGGTCCCTGGATAAAGTCGCATAGTATCAGCAATTACTTGAAAATTGTTTAGCACTTTTCTCTTAGAAGAAAGAAGCAAATCCCAAGGAAGCAAGTATATATTGAAATGATTTACCTAAATTGAAAATAGGGCAACAGAGACCAGAAGATGACGTAATGGTTATGTTGCTGGACTCCCATGTAGTTGACCGCAGTTCAAATCCCGGATCAGGTGGCTTAAAACTCATGCCAGGTACGTGTGTGCCTGCCCAAGATCTTGAGAGGTGAATGGAGAAAAAGGTACCCTGGTGTGGCCATCCTTCCTGGGGGGGATTTCTCTCTTTCTCTCTGGTGAGCGCATGCGCCCTATAGCAAAAATCTCTCCTCCCCAAAACACAACAACAAAAAATACAGGCTTGACATTGGGCTACAACGCTAAGCCCCTGAAATCCAGATGTGGGCTACACTGGGCTCATTAGGACGTTTTGCTCTGAATCGTGTACATCTGAACTGTCTCTGTAATACAAGATGGAGCTCCAGTAGCCTTCGCCACACCCACATATGTAGAGAATGTAAAGCGCTAGTCTGGTTTTGATTTTTCAAAAAACTTGGGGCTGGCAGGTGGCATGGTGGTTAAGGCGCTAGACTCCCACATGGCTGACTGCAGTTCGAGTCCTGGACCTAGCGGCTTACTTTCTCACTCCCTTCCCACTTTGGTCAAATTAAAAACTGAAAAAAAAAATTAAATTAAATCTATTTTTAAAGATTTATTTGTTTAATTCCATTTGTTATTGTTAGTTAGGTTTATTTATTTATTTATTTTTTATTTGACCAAGAGAGAGAGAGAGAAAGGGAAAGTGAGAAAGCAAGCCACCAGGTCTGGGACTTGAACCTTGGTCGGCCATGTGGGAATCTAGCGCCCCTATTTACCACACCCCTTGCTGGCCCCTAAATATTTCTTTTTAATTTAATTTTTTTCTCTTAACTTTAAAAAAAAAAAAACCTCTTATTTTTAACTGAACATATTATCAACCATAATACGCTTTATCAGTCTTCCTGGGTTGACCTGTGAAAGTCTCATGTTCTGGAAAACCCCTCAATGCCAGGCTCCCACCTGGCTGACTGCAGTTCGAGTCCTGGACCTAGCGGCTTGCTTTCTCACTTCCTCCCCACTCTGGTCAAATTAAAAACTAAAAATAATAATAATAATAATAAAATTAAATTTAAAAAATTATTGAGGGAACCAGCAGTTGTGACCATCCCCCCTGGGGGGTGATTTCTCGCTTTCTGTCTCTATGTCTCTCTCTGTCTGTCTGGCGAGCGCACACGCCCTACAGTGAAAATCTCTCAAAAAAAAAAATTTAAAAAATTATTTAATTTTTTTCTCTTCACTTAAAAAAAAAAAAAACTCTTATTTTAACTGAACATATTATCAACCACAACACACTTATCCATCTTCCTGGGTTGAGCTGTGAAAGTCTTCCATTCTGGAAAACCCCTCAATGCCAGGCAAACTGGGATGGCTGGATAAGGACACCCCTTCTCTGTCTACCCTGTCCCCCTACGACCCTCTCCTTGAACCCATCACCTCTCCAATGGTAGGCAGCTGTGGTTTGATAGTGGATTTGCATAGGAAAAACTGGATAAAGGAATACAATACACATACAGTAGAAAGGTACTTACTTTCCTAAATCACGCCAGCTTGCTCCTAGCAAATTATTACTTAAAGCATTTTAGCAAAGCACTCAAACTAACAATATCGGGCAACAAGCATTGCGAATACGAGGGGTCTTCTAAATGTTCTTGGAGAGCTAACTCCATAGCTAGCGGTTAAGGGAGCTGGATCCCAGTGGGCTGGCCATGGTGGAATACCAAGCCCTGGTGGCTTACAAACACACCAGGCACATGTGTGTATGCTCCAGATCCCGACGGGATGGAGAATGAAGGAGAAGGGATTGCGGTGTGACCATGCCCCTTCGGAGGGGGGTGTCTTCTTCCTCTTCTTGTCTCTCTTGTGAGCACGCCCACCCTCTGGCAACATTAAATTAAAAAAAAAAAAAATTCTAAATGTTCATAGAAAATGCATTATGAAAAAATTCTGTGTGAATTTCAAAACTTCCTGCACCAAAATAAATTTGTACTTTCTTCTTTTTTTGGGGGAGGGGGAGGTATTTGCTATAGGGCGTGTGTGTGCGCTCACCAGAAAAACAGAAAGAGACAGAGAGATAGAAAGCGAGAAATCATCCCCCAGGGGGGATGGCCACGCCGCAATCCCTTCTCCTCCATTCTCCTCTTGGGATCTTGGGCACGCATGCACATGCGCCCAGCGTGAGTTTAAGCCACCGGGTCCAGGACTCAAACTGTGGTCGACTACATAAGAGTCCAGTGACATAGCCATTAAGCCAACTGCTGGTCCCAAACGTGGACTGTCATCCATTTTCCGAGAACCTTTTGAAGCCCCCGGTACTGTGATCACAGAGGCAGCAGGGCATGCAGAAGCACCCGGTTAAAAGCATGCAGACCCAGCATCCCCGGCAGGAGCAGGACCGCATGCTCGCCCTCTCCGGTCCGCTGGTAATGCAGGTGGACGCCATTCACGGGCACTTTGGCGGAGGTGACGGAGGTGCTAGAAGACAAAACCAGAAACACACCCGCCCCCACAGGAAAATTACTTCACGGCACAAATTTCACAGGACAACGCTGCCCACCGAGATGCACAAGTCTGCTCTAGGGTCCCCTCAGCCTCTTGGGTGACTTTGATTTGAGCCTGTTTCCCAGTTCTGAACACAGACCTGGAGGAGTCCGACCCGGTAGGGCCCTAGGATCTGTCCTGAGCTTTTGACCTCTACCTCTTATAGGTCGGGACCACACGTTGGCAAGGCCGCTGCTGTGTATCCCCCCCTCCCCGCCAAGAATAAAACTTAGGTCGAATTAGCATGTCCGCAAGGCTGCCTGCT